GATGACGGGGACAGGAGGATGACGGGGACAGGAGGATGACGGGGACAGGAGGATGACGGGGACAGGAGGATGACGGGGACAGGAGGATGACGGGGACAGGAGGATGACGGGGACAGGAGGATGACGGGGACAGGAGGATGACGGGGACAGGAGGATGACGGGGACAGGAGGATGACGGGGACAGGAGGATGACGGGGACAGGAGGATGACGGGGACAGGAGGATGACGGGGACAGGAGGATGACGGGGACAGGAGGATGACGGGGACAGGAGGATGACGGGGACAGGAGGATGACGGGGACAGGAGGATGACGGGGACAGGAGGATGACGGGGACAGGAGGCTGCGGGGACAGGAGGATGACGGGGACAGGAGGATGACGGGGGACAGGAGGATGACGGGGACAGGAGGCTGCGGGGACAGGAGGCTGTGGGGACAGGAGGATGATGGGGGACAGGAGGATGACGGGGACAGGAGGCTGCGGGGACAGGAGGATGATGGGGGACAGGAGGCTGCGGGGACAGGAGGATGACAGGGACAGGAGGATGACGTGGGACAGGAGGATGACGGGGGACAGGAGGCTTCGGGGGACAGGAAGATGACGGGGGACAGGAGGCTGTGGGGACAGGAGGAAGAGGAGAGAGGAAGTCACCTGCAAGGGAAAGAGCCAAATGTTCAGGCCTGGCCCTGCCTCCCACCTGCGGCGGCGCCTTCGGGAGCCCCCAGGCCTCGCTGCAGTGGCTGGTCTCAGGTCCCATGCGGCTACAGGGTCACACGTCACACGCGGAGATGGCATGGCTATGACGTGGGTCCGCCTCTAGGCAGGAGGGCTGTTGGGCTAATCTGGCTGAATGTCTACGTGCCCCAAAGTGCACAGACTTAGAGACAGTACATCCACAGAATGCGAACCTCACAGAGACGCCCAGGTAGTCTCTCACACACTGCGGTGGTCTGAGCTGCTCCTCCACACACCCTACCGCATGGCGAAGGCGGACAGCGGACAGGCAGCTTCTACATAGAAAACCAGGGGCGGCGAAGGCGAATGGTGCCCTGGTGCAGCGGGAGGAAGAGCATCCGAGAGCTTCCCGACGGGAGCCGCAGGCGCCCGGGGCTCTACAGTGAGGGCTACCGGGGGACAGGAGGCTGCGGGACAGGAAGCTGCGGGGACAGGAGGATGAGGGGGGACAGGAGGCAGTGGGGAAAGGAGGCGGATGGGGGACAGGAGGATGACGGGGACAGGAGGATGACGGGGACAGGAGGATGACGGGGACAGGAGGATGACGGGGACAGGAGGATGACGGGGACAGGAGGATGACGGGGACAGGAGGATGACGGGGACAGGAGGATGACGGGGACAGGAGGATGACGGGGACAGGAGGATGACGGGGACAGGAGGATGACGGGGACAGGAGGATGACGGGGACAGGAGGATGACGGGGACAGGAGGATGACGGGGACAGGAGGATGACGGGGACAGGAGGATGACGGGGACAGGAGGATGACGGGGACAGGAGGATGACGGGGACAGGAGGATGACGGGGACAGGAGGATGACGGGGACAGGAGGATGACGGGGACAGGAGGATGACGGGGACAGGAGGATGACGGGGACAGGAGGATGACGGGGACAGGAGGATGACGGGGACAGGAGGATGACGGGGACAGGAGGCTGCGGGGACAGGAGGATGATGGGGGACAGGAGGATGAGGGGGACAGGAGGCTGCGGGGACAGGAGGATGACGGGGACAGGAGGCTGCGGGGACAGGAGGATGACAGGGACAGGAGGATGACGTGGGACAGGAGGATGACGGGGGACAGGAGGCTTCGGGGGACAGGAAGATGACGGGGGACAGGAGGCTGTGGGGACAGGAGGAAGAGGAGAGAGGAAGTCACCTGCAAGGGAAAGAGCCAAATGTTCAGGCCTGGCCCTGCCTCCCACCTGCGGCGGCGCCTTCGGGAGCCCCCAGGCCTCGCTGCAGTGGCTGGTCTCAGGTCCCATGCGGCTACAGGGTCACACGTCACACGCGGAGATGGCATGGCTATGACGTGGGTCCGCCTCTAGGCAGGAGGGCTGTTGGGCTAATCTGGCTGAATGTCTACGTGCCCCAAAGTGCACAGACTTAGAGACAGTACATCCACAGAATGCGAACCTCACAGAGACGCCCAGGTAGTCTCTCACACACTATCACAGGGACGAACACGGGGATGATTCAGGACAGACAGGCTGCTCAAAGGGAACACACGGGACTCAGAGGCAGGCCCCATCCAGCAGGAACCTGATGTCTAAGAGGCCTTGGGCCGGGGGTGGGGCCGAGAAAACAAAGCAATGCAAAGAAAAAGAGCAAGAGGACGGACAAGGAGCCCGAGAGGCAGAGAAATTCAGAGAAACCCAGCCCCTTGGAAGGGCAAACAACTGGAAGTGGATCTTTGATTGTATTACCCACTGGGTTGATCTGGAACGAGCTCCCTATTGAAACTCAACTAATTACCAACCTTAATTCCATCTACAAACTTTTAAAAAAATATTTTTCTTGATTTCAGAGAGTTAGGGAGAGGAGATAGAAACATCAATGATGAGAGAGAATCATCGATCGGGACTGAGCCCATAACCCAGGCATGTGCCCTGACCCGGAATTGAACCGTGATCTCCTGGGTCGACACTCAACCTCTGAACCACATTGGCTCCATCTGCAAACTTAATTCCCCGAGCCACCCATGGAAGCTCACACGCTCACACGTCCGGGAATTGGGACGTGGACATCTTCGGGGACCATTATTCTACCTGACAGAACAGAGAAGTCTGTCTCTTACAGAATAGAGCTGATCATATCTTAGTCTTTCCCCTGGGTCACTGAGCACTGCGCTGGAGGTGTGTTCAGATGAGTGTGCTGTGTTTATTTGTGTTAGTGTGTTTGTTGGGTGTCTATCTGAATGCCTACCTGAGGTGTAGGCGGGGTAGAAGGGTGCCTGGAGGGCTGCCGGGGGAGGGCTGCCGCTCTGTAGACACTGCGCTGTTCTCATGGACAGTAACGCTAATGACAGCCGCCCCCTCCCCCCGCCCCCCGCCTCTCTGAGCAGCCTGTCTGTCCCTGAGTAATGCCTGGTGTGTGTCTCTGTGAGGTCTGCGTATGTGAAGGTGTTGTCTGTGAGTCTGCACTTGGGGGCATTTGGACATTGGTGGATGCACATGCATGTTTGTACACAGTGTGTGTGACCACAGTTGCAGGCATCTGAGTGTTTACTTATTCACAACCCTGGAGGGCATCCAGGCAGAAGGGCCTAGGAGGCAGGTGGAGGAGCTGGGAGGAAGAGGGAGCAGAGAAGGGCAGAGAGGGGGAGGGGAGGGGGAGGAGACAGAGATGGAGAGGAGGAAGAGGGCACAGGAGAGATCAGGATAAATCAGGAAGCAGAGGGAGCTCTAGGAATCTGAAATGAAAAATTTCACAGAAAGGACACAAATGAGAAGAAGATCTGGGCATGGCTCCGCTTCTGTGACCTGGGCAATGCCAGCTCTCGGGCCTCAGTTTACCAAGAGGTTTGACATAGACAACCCTTGGACACATCTCAAAGAGGAGAGAAGAAAAGTAGAAATAAAATCATACACAGAGAAAAACAGAACTAGAGACACAGGAAGAAAGTACAGCGAGAGGACCTGGGAACCCGCCAGGAGTAGAGCTGAGAGGGCCCTGTCCTGACTCCCGGAGGCAGAAGTGTGGGAGCCTGCTCCCCACCCCGTACCCCAGAGCTGCAGTGTCCTTAAGCCCGTAAAAGGTGAGGCAGGAAGCTGGAAAGAGAGCGGCGCCGGGAATGACAGCCACTCGCCAACACTCAGAGGCCTGCCAAGGCCACACGGCCCGGATCCCTGCTTCCGGCCCCGCCCCCGGGAGTAGGTGTGCCAGCCACCTGGAATGACTCACACCCCGGCGATGTGGGCACCCTGCCCACCGCACACCACAGGCCGAGGGGAAGGTGAGATTTGGGCGGGGGGGGGGGGCAGAGGGGACTACCCCTCCCCATAATCGGCCACCTTGCCCCCAGCGCGCCCCTGGTGACCCTCTCTGGCTGGAGGACCCAGGTGTCCTTTCCGCGCGCCCTCCTCCCCAGCTCCGCGGGGACGCGGGAGAACCAGGAGTTGCGCAAGGCCGCTGTTTACCTGCCGCGGGCCTCCTCCCTCCCTATAAAACCTGCCGTGGAGGCGAGGCGGCAGCCTGGGACTGAGAGGCCATCCCAGGAGAGGGCAGCGGCGGCAGCT